AATTTGTGGAACTCTCTTATTTATCAAAAACCAATTGGAAACAGAAGACAAAATCAGATTTACTACAAACGCATCTAGGGGTTCCTCAGGGTTCTATTTTGGGCCCCATTTTATTTACATGCTACATTAAAAACCTCCCAAATGCATTGACTAAGTCAGCCAGTACATTAAGTATATATGCTGATGATATCAATTTTAAAACTTCGGGTAATTCAATCACTGATATTAAAAATTCTACTGAATTGGAGCTCAAAAATGTTGAACAATTCTTAACAAACAACAATTTAACACTAAATACAAACAAGACAAATTTTGTTCTCTTTCATACAAATAAGTTCAAAAAAGATCAAACCCCTAAAATTACTCTAAATAATAACCTGATCAATCAAGTGAAATCAACCAAATTTTTAGGCTTGATAATTGATGAACATCTAAATTGGAATGAACATATTAAGGATTTGGTTGGTAAAATTAATTCAGGCTTGTTTGTTTTAAGATCAATGGCTTATCTCTGTGATAAAGCTGTGTTAAAATTGATATACCACTCGCTTATAGAATGTAATATTGGTTACGAAATCGAAATTTATGGTGGGATAGTACAAAAAAATTTGAAAAAGGTTTTAAAACTACAAAAACAGGCCATTAGAGTTATTGAAAAATTTAAGAATAAGAGGTCGGTGAAAAAGTGCTTTAAAGCAATGGAAATTTTTACAGTGTATGGTTTGTATATTTTTAAAACTATTCAGCATGTTTATAAAGATAAAAACACTGAAGTTTCCCATAAATACAATACAAGGTGGAAAAATCTTTCTGTAAAAAGTCATCATCGGCTGAAACTTTCAAAAATGAAGCCTTCGTATATCGACAATTTATTCATAAGAAGTTTGCCTGCCTTACTAAAAAAATATCAAAACAAAACCAATTTTGTTAAAGAAATTAAAATAATTCTTAATTAATCTGGCTCCTTATAGTATAGACGAGTTTCTAAATAAAAAATGATTTAGCTATACATTCTAAAATAATTGTCAAATTGTATGGTTAAGTCTTTTGGATTAAGTTGCATAACCAATTTTGTATGCGTTGACACTATTCATGTATGTAAATGTATAAAGTGAATAAAGATAATTCGGTTTGATTTGATTTGATTTAAACATCAACACAAACACCACTGTCACTGAACTGAAGAGTGGCGAGTACAAACCAGAGTACAAACAGCGATCAGCTGGCTCGTGGCACCGGGCTACTCCGGCTCAGGTCAGACTCCGCTCGTGACGTCACAGCGGAGGCGGGAAAAAGCCTGCCGGCCCGTAGTTTACGTAGGCCCCGGTCTATGCCCTGCGGAACTGTTCTTACAGTGAAAACCCCATACAAGGCTTGCAATTAAAACCCAACTTAGGTACAACGATTGAAAACAAACGTGAGGTACAGAGGAAGGCAGCGGACGCTCACAGAGGAGCGCCTAGATTTTTCTTGGAAGTGGAAAAAGTTTTGGTGAAGACTGTTAGGCAGAAAAAGGTCAATTAGGTCCCTGGCAAGGTTTTGGAGAGTAAGAGTCCAGTAACTTACATCGTCCATGTGTTAGGCAAAAAAACAGATTTTGCCATTTAGAGCATCTACGAGCAAGTCAGCTTGAGGAGGAAGATAACATCGATCTATTACTTATTTAATACGCAAGCAGGATTTTTGTGACAATTACTCCTCCGAAACTACTGAACCGATTGACATGTTTTTTGTGTCATTTAAAAGAGCGTAACGTAAAGTTGTGCAGGAAACTTTCTTTTTAGGCAAATAATTGGAGAGTGAGGCCCTATGGCCCTTTGAAGTTTCGTATTTCTCCATAAGATTAACATGGGAAACAAACATTGTTTTGAAACTCCAGCTGTTGTCAGAAATTAAATGTTAATACATGGTCTCCATGGAAGCATGAGAAAATTCACAAAATTATTACATTTGCTTTGACATTTAAATGTAAACAAATATAACTATCAAATACTTAATTCACAATTTCAGACAGCTGATCCAAAAAAAAAAAAAAATTAAACAACTATGTGGTAGTGGTAGGTTTATTTAATCATAAACTTTATGATGGATTATTAAATTTATTATAAATCTATTTCAATGATTATGAAACAGATTTTTCCCGTTGCGAAGGAAAAATCAAAAGCGAGAAAAAGAACATACCTATGTTAATTGTAAACAGCCAATGTGAAAATTATCTATGATGTATTAAAAATGTGTATGGTTTTGGATGTTGGTTTGTGTTTAATTATATAAGTTATTCATTATTGAATTTTTATTTTAATGATTTTTCATATGAGTATGACTATGATAAATAACACCATTTCTGTTCTGCCAGTTTTTGCCTAGCTCTGTTCTGTAGAGTTTAAAGAAGCCTTATTATCAGGGCCTTATTGTCTAAAAATTGGCTAAATAACTTAGGTACGGTACATTATAAAAGCTCTGACAGCCTTTTTACGTTGACTTTAATTGTAAGCTTATCTTATCCCGTCCATGGACAGTTTGATAGTTAAAAATTAACCCTTTAAACTGGAATAGGACTGTTATGTAAATTGTGAGTATTTCCATTAGTTAATAATATTTTAGTCGACTCTTTTAAAATCATCGGAAATAAAGACTGTTATTAGTTTTTAAACAAGTCATTTGTTTATGATTAACTCCTGTACTTTGCAATTGCTCGATTTCGAGCAACATGTACACTAGTTATTATTGATAGGCCTAATGTTGGTACAACAATTAAACCACCATCACCGACGCACGTCTCGTCAGCAACGCCTGCATCTACTTCGCCGCCGAAGGCTAGTTCCCCTTATTCGAGGCCGTCTTCTGTGGCAACGGAGCAGCAGAGTTCCCCGACTCGACCAACAGCACCGAGTCCGTCAAGACCCTCAGTTGCACAGTACAGTCCACCCACACTTCGGAGATCCAGGAGAACTGTACACAAACCTGTGAGGCTTGATTTGTAAAGTTACGGAAGATCGTAACGAGAAGATTTTTATATCAGTTTTATAACAAAATTTTTGGTTTTTAATGTTAAAGAGAAGTTAAGTTAATTATATTTAAATGGCCTTGGTCAAGTGTTTTATTGATTAATTAGAAGCAAATTTAATTGGGGTGAGTGTGATATATGAACTAACTCGCTAGTTAGAGATTTGTAAATATGTGTGTGGTGGCTGCACTGCCAAAACATGTGATGTCAGCGGCCACTGCTCAATCCTCAGTCTCATTCTACTATGATCAGTGTGATAAGCAATAGTATAAGTCTGTTCTATGCTTATAGTTCCGTATGTAATATTTCGCACATCAAGTGTCACAATCAGCACAACCCGACGAAAATAGTTGTTATACTCCTCAGCTCTCATTACGGCTCGCTTTACCTCCTCAATAGCGTCGACCGTTGACCGTCCCTTCCTGAAGCCGTACTGACGAGGGGACAGATTTCCCACAGCAACCACAGCTGAATTCAGTTGGGAACGGATCAAATTTTCAAAGGCAGCAGAAGGGAATCTTCCCCTCGGCCAGACAGGCATTGTAAGTGCTCAAAAGGATTTGTGGTTTTATTGAAAAGACTTTCTTTAGGGCCTCACCAGGTATCCCATGCGGTCCAAGAGCCTTGTTGTTCTTCAGGGATAGAATGGCCGCCTCAAACTCCTCAATACGGAACAGCGGTACGTCGTCCACCCTTCCGAACTCCCGCAATGGGCGCAGTGTGTGAGTCGGGAAAAGGGACTTTACTATCCTATCCATAGAGGCCCCATCCATAATGGGGGAGGGGGTGCCAAGCTTCTTGGTTACTATCTTGTAGCCGAGGCCCCACGGATCGTAATCGGCATCGTCCCTTAATTTCTCCCAGCAACTACGTTTTCTCCGGTTTGAGACTTCCTAGCCCCCTTGTAAGCATCAGGCTTCAGACGTCTATCTTCGGGTTCTCTGGCGCTGATAGCAAGACGTCTGGCTCTCAATTCTGCCCGACGCAATTCTGCGAACTCGGTTGTCCACGGGTACACAGGTCGCTTATCGCAATGGGATCTCCTGCAAGGCATTGACTCATCACAGGTGGAGACTATCAGCCTCATCAATGATGTAACTGATGTCTCTGCGTGAGCCACTCCAGATGCAGCAGGTACCACCGGCTCTCTCCGTAGTATGATTTCGGTGAATTTGGCCACGTCCAACTTTTTGGTGTTCCACCTAACGGGCACCTGCCGAAACACAGTAGCTTGTCTCTGATGATTATTCCGGACATCAAAAATGATGTACTGGTGGTCACTGGCGGTATAATCCTCCAGGACTCTCCAGGCTTGTATCCTCGGCAAGAACGACTCAGATACAAGAGTGATTTCTGGGATCGTCCCCCTCATTCCGGGACGCTGGAAAGTTGGTGTGTTGTTCTCGTTGATGACAACCAGTCTAGTCATGGCAGCAAAGTCTAGGATGACTTCCCCGGGAATTAGTGAGAGTCATTCCCCACTCTACAGCCCTAGCATTGAAATCCCCCGCCACGTCGACGTGCACGGTGGTATCGCGCACACACTCTTCCAGACGGTCTATCTTACCACGGAAGTCACGGGTAGTCTCGTTGGGGGTGAGGTATACACTAAAGTAAGTGTATATTTCATGTATTGTTCTATTTTATTTTTCAATTTAATTTGCAGGTGTTTGTCGTGCAGATAATATTTGAAGATGTTAATTTGCCTACCATTCCCCTTAAAAACACATAGGCTATAAGAAGAAAAAGGATATTGAACAAGGTAACAGTTTATTTTAATATATTTTTTTAATGTTTTTTTATTATCACCGTGTTCTGTAATGTTGTGAGCTTCAGTGGTCGCATTCTATCGTATAGTCCATTTTTATTATATCATCATTCTCATTATACCAAACCATTTCCATACGGTCGTACCATAGTCATAAGATCGTATGTGGTATTAATATACCTTATTACTAATGTAATTTAACCAAATGATATTATTACATCTCACCATGTCAGCGAACTTGTTGACTCCTACGGTGAAGGTAACTTCTCCTCGCTCGTACTTCTTGTTGTGTTTACGGATGTACTTGAGATTTTTCATGAACATTTTCTTACTATATTTCTCCGTAGGTTCGTATCCTTCATTTTTGTACGTTTTATTATATTCGATCTGAAGATGAACATTATTCGTTTCACTGATTTATGAATATACTGTCATTGACTTATTGAAAGCTATATAAACAACTTTTAAAACTGAATAAATCCATTTGGTGATACTTATAAACGCTTGATTTTGTATCCAAAGTTGTATGTTTAGATTAATTTAAATTTATGCTTCATCCACAACTTCACTTCACAACTCAAGTTTACTCAAACATTTTTCTATACTTAATATCTCTGACGTAAACACAAACAATGAAATAAAATTCCTTTAAAGTTGAGCTAATTTTTATGTCAAAGTTTGTCATTTTGTGGCCATGTGATCACAAGAAAAAACCCTTTTTTAATTTTGTTTCAGAAGCAATAAACCTTTTTTTATGAAGATGCCTTACCTTAAATAGTTCCCATTGGGCCTCGTCCTCCTCGGAGTAGGCGATGCATCCCAAGTAATCCAAAGCAACAAGGGCCAACAATAGCAACAGCTTCATATTGACTACAAAGCAACATTGGAATAATAAACAACAATTTTGGAAAGTTTTAAAATGAAAGTTTAACGTAGCTGAAGTAATCTGCTGACAGATTCCATTAATGGAAATTACTGATTTCTGCCTCATATGTCCTAGTAACCTGCAGACTAAAAGACAGCTTTAATTGAATAATCTATCGAACATTTACTCTTTTTAACCGACTTCCCCACTACCAACAAAGGAGGAGGTTCTCAATTTGTTTGTGGCGATGTTTTTTTTTTCTATGTATGTTCACCAATTTCTCTGTGATTCTTTTACCGATCAGTGTGGTTCCACCACCAAAATAACCAGGAGAATTTCTATTTGGTACCTTATATATTATGTTTAAGTATAATATTTGTTTCGGTGAAAAATTCTGAAAACCTTAAATATTCAACATTTGTTTTGTTTACATTTGTGCAGATTGTTTACATTTGTGCAGAGAAGGCAATAAATAATAATAACATTCCTACAGCTGTTAGTTGAAACCATTTCAATGAAGCTACAGACAATTCTTCATAAAACAGTTGCTTCACTGATCAATAAACTATTTCTTGCCATGGAGCCTTTGAATTACATTGAGAAAAATGCATTTTGTTTTGGTTACTATAAAAAATGTATTTTAACGTTTGACCTGATTTGTGTATACAGTAATTCTGTTATTAGTATTGAATACTGACTTACAAAAACATATATGTTTCAGTGAATAGCTGTATGATATTGACAAATAAAGGTGTATTGTGAAAACCAAAGCATTCGTAAAACAGGTCTAAATATAAATTAAATGCAATTATTCCTTACACGACCGAAGAAGTGTGACAGTGCATTATCGTCAATTGTCTTAAAAGTGATAAATATTTTAATTACTAAACATGCATTTGCAGATGTGGAATGTTTATTGGTATTCTCTACCCAGTTACTAGGCCTATATCATATCAATACTATTATGCCTGATTCGGAAAGTCCTAGGGGAAGATGATTTGCAATTTCGACTAGGCTATATCTTGATCAAACAAAACCACCTACATGGCTTGCACCACTTTTAGCTGAACCAATTTTTCATATACATATTTCATTTGCAGATGTGGAATGTTTATTAATATTCTCTACCCAGTTACTATATCATATCAATACTATTATGCCTGCTTTGGAAAGTCTTAGAGGAAGATGATTTGCAATTTCGACTAGGCTATATCTTGAGCAAACAAAACCCCCTACATGACTTACACCACTTTAAGCTGAACCAATCTTTTATATAATATTTTCCAAAGGTACTATACGTGTTAACGACCAATTTTCCACTTTTGAGGGATTTTTTAGTGCTGGTAGCTGAGGAATAACTTTCATTCCATAAGGCTTGAGACGTTACTGTATTTCTTTTTATAATGTAGAAGTACACCGATTGCAGGAAACGATGATGTCTGACATGTCAATGTATCTAGAAAAGACAATTAGTTTGTCATTAGGCCTAATGTAATGGACAACTCTTTCCTTCCTTAAGGAATATCTAAAAATGTTTATTTTCATACCCATTGATTATGTAACCTGAACAGGTGACTCAAGCAGTTTTAAAATAATGATTGTTCTGTGGAACTTTTGATTGTGTCAAACAGTTTTGCTTATCAAAAATCCTCAAGTATTAAATATATAAAAACTTATACAGTCACTAAAAATCATGAAATAATTTATTTTTGTAAAAAAATACAACCGACTTCAAACGCTCTAAAAAGAATGAAATAATTTCAATAAAGTAAACTTTTGTATTAGGCTTGCTCACGTATTTCAAGTCGGTGCGGCTTAAACTGCAAATATGATTGAAACTAAATATTGTGTGTATATTTTGAAAATTAATAAATTGTAGCTGGATAACTTAACATAAATATATAAAAAAAAACATACTGAACTGTTTTGTTTATATATTAAAGGAAATATCTTCTTGTATTTTATGTTTAGGCCTACTTCAGAATAAATGCATTATGAAAATAACACACACAAATGTTCTATATGAATAGGAAAATAATTTAGTTGGATTATGATAGGGAAAAGAAGCTAGTTTAGTATTAAAACGTTACTTTTCCAATTAAAAAACATTTAAATGCGTTATACGATTTTTAAAGATAATCGTTAACACCACTCTAATGCCGATCTCTGATTACGGTAATAAAATAACACTTAACGCATAACTATGAAAAAGACATGCAGATTAACACCTTTAGTTATAGATAGTCACCAGCAATATGGACACCCTCTTTCAATTTTGTATCAAAAATCATTATAGAGCCGCGCCGACTTAAAATACGTGAGCTTACCTAATACAAAAGTTTACTTTATTGAAATTATTTCATTCTTTTTAGAGCGTTTGAAGTTGGTTGTATTTTTTTACAAAAATAAATTATTAGTAATCTATAATCTCCTTACAAAAGTCTATAAGTATAAAAGAGTATGTTTCTTTGTATATTTATATATTTAGCAGTTTTTATAAACACTGATATTGCTGGACCGAGGGCCACAAAACATGGTACATAGGTGTAGAATTTCATGGAATATGTCTATACACCATCAATTTCGTGATAACGCTTTTTTCTTATTCTTATTCTTTTTACTTTTTTACTATCATTTTTGTAGCTATGGTTTTATTTGTCTCCTTAAAAATAGTGTTTGTTTTGTCTTGTAACATTTTCTGTTTGTGTTACCCAGGCAAATGATTTTAAATTCAATTTCGTTTCTTTGTCCTTGCCAAACAAGTTAAATTTAGATGGTTTTCATGGTTTTTCAAAGTTTGATTCTATTTAGTTGAGAAAAACGTAATTTATAAGCCTTTTAGAGTTTAGCAAGTTTTCAATGAGGTATGACATGGGAAGACAAGACATCAGAAGCAATCCGGCTCATCAATGCTGATTTTCACAGCATTTTTCAATGGTCTGTCATGAATGGCCTTGGATTGAATGTTGACAAGTGTGTAGTCATGCATACTGGACCAAACATTATGATACAGGAATTGAGTAAATCTGCTATAGAAATCACCCTTGATGGCATGAGATTGTCTGTTTGCAACACTGTCAACACACTTGGTGTTGTACTTGACAAAGACCTCTCTTTTTCTGACCATGTCACATCTGCATTCTGCAGTTCAACGTGCAGTGGGTAGACTGAGAGGTCTTAGCAGATTTAAAACTCTACTGCCAGAATATGCCAAAATGCAACTTATGCGGTCCTTCGTCCTCCCAGCCTTTACATATTGCTTTCCTGCATATGGTAGCAGCATCTCTAAGGAGGATATGGCAAGAGTTCAAAGAATTCAAAATTCTGCTATAAGGTTCATTTTTGGCCTAAACCGCTTTGGCCACGTGTCCTCCTTCCGAGATGCTGCAAAGCTCATCCCAATGGATGAAATATGCAGGGGGCTGACCTGCTGCCTGGTCCATAAAGTGCTCACGCTGGGAGAGCCTCAGTACCTCAGCGAGAGGCTTAAGTACAGGGGGGAGATCTGCCTGCGTGGTACTCGTTCCGACCGCAGGCTTCACTTTCCTAAAGTGAGGCTTGAGGTTGGAAGAAAGTAATTTTCTTATTTTGGCCCGCAGTTGAATAATGGCCTCCCTCAGGACATAAAGAGCTCCAAATCGTAGGCCTATGGCTCATTCAGGGCCGCAATGCAGAAAAACAAATGTAAATTGTAAATGTTTTTTCTTTGTAGTTTTTTTTTTATATTAAATTTTTGTATATATTAGGTTAGTTTAGTTTTAGTTTGACTTGAGTAAGTTTGAAAATCATGTATATGAAACTCGCTTGTAAATAAAGGCATTTTTATTTATTTATTTATGGGTAACCTGAAGTTCCACTGGCCTCAGACTTTGATTTGAGGCTTATTATGTTTTGGAAAAGTTTCCGGAATATTCTTTTCAACTTTTAAGGCCCTTCCAAGCAAATTTTAATTGTAACTTTCGGAATTATCAAAATAATACAAACGTGTTGTCACGCTGGCCTAGGAAGTTTTTCATATAATGTTAAAAGCTGTTTTTGAAGGTTTTTTCCTCTGTTTTAATGTAATTGTTTTGTAGTGTTCTTTTATTTTTGGCCACTTTTGACCCGGTAAATTAAAAACCAAGCGCGCGTGATTGTTTTGTTTTTTTACGATGGAGTGTGCGCGGGAATCAAGTGATCCCCCAAATAAGAATTTGTATAAAAAATGATCTTTTGATATTGAACTTTTAAAACCTTCGTAATGTCTATATTCATGTTCTTATATTGTTATGTCAATTTTATGATCCTATCATAATATGCTTTAATTGATTTGAGAGTAATAGTTTGAACCCTTAATTTCTCTCGACATGAATGTAATTATGGTGTTAAAAAGGGGAAACATTTTAGTTAAACAAGTTTTTATTGCAAACAAAAGTTATTTTAAATTTTGCAAAAGTATAATATTACTTTAAAACCATGGAAACGGTAAATAATTCATGAATTAATAAATTTCCTGATTTTGTAGAAAATACTGTAAAAAAATATAAAAATTCAAAAATCCATCCTTGATAACGTTTTTTTTTTTCAAACATCCTCGTCATATGGATGATTTAGAAGAACTTTTAATCACACTTCACAAATATTTTGTCCATAGAACATTGGTTCATTAAGGTTTTTTCAATTTAATTTGGTCTTGGCTTCTTTTTGTCCAAGACAGCCGGTTATCAATGCAGATGTGCCTTCGCACTGGAAGGCTAGATCAGTGGACAATTTGGTTTGACATTTTCACCCAATTGGTTTACATATCGATTTTTTGCAAACTTTCAATACTATAAAAATAATAATGATAAAGTTATAAAGTTATTATACTAATCATGTTAATAAAACTGAGACACTACTACGCGCGCGCGGGTATACTAGACCCCCTAATAAACACAGTACTGTACTGGTAACACATGAATGCGCGTGGAGGTATGCTAGACCCAGGATAGTGATTACAGAAATCCTTCCCGACAGACCACCGCCG